TAAGGACATTATTCAATTTAAATTTATATGTAATTAATATAAAACTTCTAATTTATGGTTTAATCGAAGCATCAAACTTTATTTAGTTACGTTTCTTGCACCACTTGGAAGACTTTGTCCAGTCTATTTATAAGTTATACAAATAATTAAGGTTTTTAGTTGAGATGAAAAAAAGTTAATGGCACGAGAGGGATTCGAAACCACGACCTTCGGCTAGATACGCTGCTGCTCTACCACCTGAGCTATCGTGACCTCGATCCACTCGGACATCAACTCTCCATCTCAACCCCACCTTATGAAATGAAAAATGGCAAAAGGAGGGAAAAGTCATAAGGTGGGGTTGAAATGGGGAGTTGATGTCCGAGCGGATCGAGGTCACGATAGCTTAGGGGGTAGAGCAGCGGCGTATCTAGCCGAAGGTCGTGGGTTCGAATTCCTCTCGTGCCATTAACTTTTTTTCATCTCAACTAAAAATCTTAATTAATTGTAATGATTTAATTGGTCAAGCGGGCCACGAAACTAGTGAATGTTCTACAAATAATTAAGATCCATATCTTTACTATATATTTGTACTATAAATAGTTTATTGTCCAAATCCAATGACGAATCTTGTATTTAAAAAAAAAAAAAAAAAAAATTAAATTGCATCCTCTAAACCTGACATATTAATTTATTTGAAATACAGATAATTAGTAATTATATGATTGACTAAGTAACAGTAGGCTATTAACTGCATTATTTCAAGGATTTATGCGGAATGAGAGAAGTCGTTAGGAAATTAGTTTCGATAACCGCTAACGGTATTACATGCTTATACTACTAAATATATACTTACTCGCTAGTGTAAGAGGCAGTCGGAAATAAAACCTGGTATTCGCAATATTACGACAAAGTGCTGAAGTGGAAGAGGCCGGTTAAACCCGAGTTTCCTCATTGTAATAAAAATGGGCGTTCATGAGTTTTCAATTGGTAGTCGTGCCCAGGTTAAAAAGAAATACGAGCCATTACTTTTTGCCATAATGCAATTGAAAGCGAATTAAATACTATTGTTTTGCCGTTTGAAACGAGAAAAATACAGATTTATTTGTACTTTTCAAGAATTTAAACGTTTGCGAGGTTTGTATGAACTACTAGCTAGGTGACGCTCAAGAGTTGTCGGTTTAATTCAATAACGATTGGAACGACGGGCTCCGAACCCAGGACCTCTTCGTGGTCAATACAAGAATTTGACCCCTTTAGAATATCTTCCATTATTAATACCATTTATATTTATTTTAAGGTTTTACACACACAAATTCAATGTCTTGAGAAAAAATCGCAGGCGGATAGGAGTACTGTTTAAACTTCCCCAAAAAACAAGTTAATGTGAAAAAGCAACATCGATGCAATCAATTTTTGAAATGCGTTTTCAGACCCTGACCATTTTCTAAAATAACTATACGATTATATCTTATACTAAAATGTTAAGAGTGCTCTGAATAAAATGCAATTGATCCCGTTTTGATCGGATCATTCTGTCGCGACATATTAAAGGAATAGTGTAAGGATTAGAACAAAAAATCCCCAAAATTTATTTACCCCCTCCTAATAAGGCAACAGATAATGAGACACAATTCCTTACTGAACGTGGTGCTAAGTCGTGCTGCATTTGAGTAACATGAAAAAACTCGCGAGCGTAGACGGATGCAGTAAGTGACTCTATGCTTATGTTCACCGACTCGCAGACCAACATCCATCATCAAATTTATGAGGTGTGTGATGGCAACACAGATAAACCCTCCTCAATTTTTGGTTTACAGCTGTATCTATCTTTCGGATTTTTTCTCCCACAGAGTTGATATTGATTTATTTATAACCTTAAGTTATATTTCCTGGATGGAACTTTCTTTACCCTCGAGTAAAAATCTTCCTGCTTGTTAGGTCTGTACAGCAAAGTACAATATGTACTGTTATTTCTTGTTCTTGACAGAACCTGCACAATCCTAACTTCAGCTGCTCTATTTTCATGTCTATTCGTATAGACTTCCAATAATTATATCTTCCGACTCTGATTTAGTAAGCTTGTTTAGTCAGATATTCTTGAAAAGGTTTTGCCTCTGTCCTAGGTCGTTTTACCAGGTATGAGTTCATTTTGAAACTCAACAGTTTGAGAACTTTTCGTATACAGATACCTGTCTTGTGCTCTGGGTTGTTCTACTTTCCTATTGCTACCAGTGCACTCATGCAGATCAACAATATTCATGAGCTTACCTGAAATTCGGCTGTGATATCTTAACTATCCAAGTAGATGTTCATTTTATTTCTAGCCTTTTAGTACCTACTGTACATTGTAAACAGGTTAGAAGAGAACCTGGCATTTGAACTATTAATTGGTTTCCCAAACTTGTTAAAAAAAATAAAAAAAATTCGAAAACGAAGTCTAATCAATTAACTCCTTTGTCAGTTTATTTAAAGTGCAAATATTACAGGTCAAAATTACAACAGAACAATTGGTAAGTACTTCTCATATCCCTAGGATTTGTAGAATTATATAAAACGAAATAAACCAATATTTCACTTCAACGGGAAATCAAATTGAAAGGGGGGGTATTCCTTACTATAAACTGCTTCCTGAACACTATGGTAAATTACTTTTCATGCAAAAGCATCTGTCACATTAGTGAATGGATATGGAGTCATCTTTCTTCGTGACAATGCGGGCCATCATATATCACATCTGTGACAATGTATGACAAAAATTGTTGCACACGGTTGTTACGTGCTACTTTCCTCAGAAGCAATTTTTCAGATTAATCTCCGTACAAAAATCAACCGTTATATAAAAACGCTACAAAAACATCATTTTACAAATTGAAAATGCTGTACGGTTAAGTTTACGTTTTTATGAAGTTTTCAATAGGAAAATCACGTTATTTTAAATATATAGAAATATTTCTCTGAAGATAAAAAGAAAACGAAATATATTTAAAATAGTTTTCAAAGTCGTTTGTTTACTTAATTCTTAAGGAAACGTAAAAAGTTTAAATTCTAGACGCCAAATTCATTTCTCCCCTTTGTTGTCGAATAGATTAAATCGGAACTCAAAAAATAAAATGCTAATTTACATGATCGTAAACAAGCTTATGTGTGTCACTGAAAAAACAACCTTTACATAGTAAAGAATACATTTTTGCGGATAAACGACCTCTTTCCTCTCGTTAATACGTGTTCCGCTCAATCCTAAAATTAAAAAATCCTACGATTTAGTTTTATGGTAATATAATAAATAGTTTGAACCAATTATGCAGAAAAAATGGGCCATTATGACACAAACAGGACAAAGATTCCGACGATGTAAATATATTGTACGTTCATTTTGAAATAAATGTATCCCAAATCGATTAACATAATTCTAAAAAGAAGATAATTCAATGTTATTTATTATCGCTATTTGCTATAGAATACATTTATTACTTACGTTTTTTGATTCAGCTATTACCAGCTAGTTTCTATAGTCGTTAAACAATTATAGATAATGTTAAGCTAGTTTCTATTTTCTTATTTACTTTGATATCTTTAGACCAGCATTTTTAAAAATAATTACATGTTTTTATAACATAAACTGATGGTCTACCAATTTTTTCATAATATGATCACAATGAAATAGAAAGTGTTATGTAAATTTTTAAAACAAATTAATAACTAACAAGGCAACTCAATTCCTTACAATCACATATTTGCTAAATAATCCCAATTAATTTTAGTTCATCAAATTTTTTCTCAAACGTTTAGGCTGTTTTCTTTTCGATAAATTTAAGTAACATAAAATATAAAAAAGAAGAAGCTATTTTTGTCATATAGAAGGGCTGAACGATAGACTACACTTTGGGTTTTGAAGACGAGGGGTCAAACCATTTTACATTACTTTTTCACATTATTATCAACAAAAATTGCACGTACTATGCCGTGATTCGAACGCAGAACCGCTAGTAAATACGCGTCGGACGCACTACCCACTAGGCCTACGCGTCCTTTTTAGTAAAATTTTAGATATTAAAGATTTTTAAAATTAAAAGAAAAATTCAACTAAAGAAGAACAATGTCACGCACATTCACCTAGTAAAGAAAACTATTAAACTTATATCCGTCTCCTAGGATTCTCTTCCAATAAAGTATGTGAAAAACGTTTTGTTAATTTAGGCTGTTAATGTTAATGTTAATTTTGTAAAAGTAATAATTATAAGCTAATGATCCTGAGAGAATCTTTTTATGCGGAGTCGTCAACATGACAATTTAAAATAGAAATTTTTGTTTTTATTTATTTTTCTACGATTTGTGTGCAAAATTTAAAATTCATAAATACAAATTTTCGTCAATAAAAAATAATGAAATACAATGGTTGGATCTGAAGGGGGTAGTTTATTCTCTTCCGGTGTTTAGCTTTAAATTTCAATTCTCGATTTTATCCAAACAAATTTTATATATTACGTCATAAAAGTGATTTGTTCTTCTTCTAAAGGAACCTTCTAAAGGAAGGTTTAGTTGTTAAGTCATAGTGAGATAAATACTATGAAATGTTCAAAAACTCCTTAAACGTTTAATATTATGCCTACAATTATAATTATTTTACAAAGTTTAAATTTATGGCATTACGCGTAGTTTATACGTTCCAAAATCTCTGTAATATATTCTTCGGATCGGTGGAGGAGTTTCAAAGTTATCACTATTTTTTGTGATTTTTGAAAAAGGCAATTATAGAAGCCGACTAATTTGAGATTTCGATTTATTAACACAAAAAACGTACCTACTTTACAAAACTCAAAGAATCAATCTGCGGACCAGCAAATACTATTTATTAAAAACAAAATACATATTTATTTTTTGAACGAGAGATATAGCAAAGTATCTTGAATAATATTTTCTTATTGAAATTAAAAATAACAAATCGGTTAATATATAACAACTTTGAAATACATGCACAATAATGGCATAAAAACATTTTATTAAAAATTTGTGTAAAGTACTTAAAACAATTTTCTCTGCTTCAAAGGGTCGGACAGGTGTCTAATGTTGTTATATTTGTTTCTAATGTTTATATTGTTTCTATGATTCACGTTCCTAGCTTCTTTTGTTAGATGTTTAAGACCATTTTCGTTTCGTGTAGATTTTAAATGTTACTTATACTGTAACTTTAACGAAATAGAATATCAGATGTAGTCATTTCTTCCAATGTAGAATAGCCGAGCAGTTGAAGTTTGAGTTGTATATTGCCCCGAGTTAAAAACGATGCAGGATTGAGGACTAATCTGCCCGAAGTCCTGTGAAAACGTGTCAGACGTGCATGGACTCCAACGGCCTACTCAATTCGTCGAACCATTTCAATGAAGGATAGATAGGAGCATAGAAGGCCGAAAAGGAAGGTGCACGCTGTTTTATTAGGCCTGTACCGATAACGAGTGAAGACACCTTTACCGAATGAGTCAATAATGTAGTCGAACGTGAAGGTACTATTGAACAAATTGACATTTATTTACGGCAAATGCGTTCAAACAAGCATAAGTATTTGACGTTTGAGATGAGCTTGGTTAGCAAAAAATATAACATGTCAATATTTAAAATAAAAGAAAGATATATACTTACATAAACTGAGATAGAGCTGGGTTGTCGGCTCGTAAAGTTCCCAGTTGAAACCTCGGTGTCTTCCTTTTTCCTTGCTATGCGGCACTCCACCTTCAGCCCTTCTTGGCTCATTTGGATCCCTGTGAGACAAAAGAGACATATTACATTAATACTTTTAAAAAAATAAAAACAGTTTTAATGTTTAGACATACTGAAGATGGCGAAATGCCGAAACGCGTCAGACAAACGATCGGTCCCGACCAAATTTCAGGTTCATCACTTCTCACACAATACGATTAAATCTTTCAATCAAACGGTTTACTGTTTAACATCTGTATCATGTATATATGTACACACTTCTATTTCAGTAAGTGGAGTAACCTACTTGGAAATTTAAAAAAATCTATTTTTATAGATTTACCGAAAACAAACTAGAAGTGTTTCTGTACATTTTGGTATAAAGCTTTTATAATTCCTGTATATAAAAGATTTTATTTTAAAGAAAATGGAAAGTTTTTAATGGCCGAGATCATCCTTTTCCACAGCTCAAAAATTAAAAGAAATGACTTTTCTTTAACGAGATTACAAAATACTTAAACCAAAATATTATGTACCGTTTACATTTTTATCGTTGAAGAGCTAAAAGAAGTTCAAGTAGCAGATGGATAAATAGAATGTTCTCTGTCGAACCGAGTTATTGAAGAGGACGTGTCCGAGGGGTCTCTGGTTTTATGATATTCTTGTGTTTTAGAAACCGTGTTATCTTTGTCATTATTAAAAAATGAAAAACTACAAACAATATTGTACTGTCTGAATAAATTTATAGAAACCAAGGAACTAAAAAACAAAACACCTTATGAAACTTAACGAAACGTTACTTTGGTATCAACAATCTCGAATGTAAAATAACATTTTTTTTTCCTATGTTCAAGGCATATTTACTAAAATTTCTTTCAGACAATTTCGTTTTATCAAAGGTTGTGTTTTTTATTATTTTGAGGTTTTTTTTTCTGAAACTAGTTGAAATATTTGATGATATGTTTTTCCCTTGTAGGTATATAGTTCTGCAGGTTTTTAAATAAAGGTAATCGGTGCTGAAGAAAAAATCAAAAATTTAGCATATTATTTTTTCAACACCTTTGCAACTTATTTGTTTTGAGAAAAATGAGAAAAATTGAATTTCTCCTAGTCTATATCTTCTTTTATTATAACCAACTAAAAAAATGGGTTTCTTATCTTTTTCGGGTGCTGTGAAAATGGGGCCAAAACTCGAAAAAACGATATCTTTTGAATGTTGGGGGAAAAAACTCATCCTCCGAACAAAAATAAAAAACGCAATGTGCTTACACTAACTACCAATTCATTAAAAAAGTAATGTTTAGTTTATCTGTACGAAGTTTGAGCAGTGCGTCATTCATACACTATACCACACAGTATACCAAAATGCAATTCGGGTAACAATTTCTTATTAGTTACATACACCCTGAGTGAAGCCAACATCCATTGTTGCTCTGCCAACTTTCTGAATAATTGCATGTTATTCTTAAGGACACTCCAGCTTATAAGGGTGAGCAATGTTAGACATGGCTAATGGGATAATTAAATGTGAGGATAGTTATCGTACAACGAAAAATTGGTTGGAGATTAGGTTTTTAACGAACAGTATTTGGAAGTTATTGTGACGGGTACTGTTGGAATCGTAGAAGCGAGCGTTGACAATGGATCTGAAGACTGTTGGAAGGTTTAGCGGTGCCTCTCATTTTTAGTGAGCACTGAAACGGATTTGGAGGTGCTATCTTGTAAAATGTTAGTTTCTTTTGTTGAAACGTATAATGTTCTTGTAACGTCTGAGTAATTTATGTTTTTAGTTCGAGTTTATCAGTTCCAGGTTGGACGTGAGAGAATAGAAGAGATAGAACCCAAGGTCGCGTACACAGTCAGTTTATGGGATATGAGAGTTTTGAATTTATTATATGAATAGTTTTGTTTCGGAGGGTGAAGTTAATAGCGGTAAATTTGCTTTCATTTATTTAATATGACAAAATTCGCTGCATTTGGCAATTACCAACACGTATGACAAGAGCTCCTTCAAAGCAAATGCGGGATAGAATCGGATGATATCACGGCTGTGCCGACGGTAAAAAATTATAAAGGGTGTAGTCGGAATATGTGATATGTAAAGATGTTGCATTGGTTCGAGCACACTGCCCTGTGACATTCCGGATCCCAGTGGGCAATTTGGAGTACTAAGATCTCTACAAACTCGTAAGAATAGTTCTGTTTGGTAGGAGTGAAGGATTAGGCACAAGGTGCTTGGAAGGACAAGTTTTATTATTATAGAAGGTACAGGATCAGCCCTTTGGGACACGTCAAGAAAGGTCCTATTTGGGGATGTGGATATGCGGTCAACAACGCAAAACACCTGGGGTTGGGGAAAGACGTATGGTGATCTTGGAAAAGGTGAAGGGATTTTAGAAGGAAGAAGCTTTATGACCGGGTTTGCCCGGTCTTATGGGAAGGATGGTAGTGGAGGATTTCCAGAGCAACAGGAAATGAGTGGTGTGGAATATAATATTATAGTGATGAGTGAGTAGGATTTCTAATATTACTTTATTTCAAATGTTTGCGGTAGGCTCGCGCTTGTTCCCTTTTCATACGGACCTGACAAAGTGTTTCGGCACTGTAATGATTAGGAAGATTTGTAAGTGCATCTAATTGTATTTGCTTTTTTTCTACAAAATTTATATGTTGAAATGAATGTACTAGTTTTTGTGTATGCATGGAATAAAATATATATTTACATATATGAGATGTAGGATAATATTCACAAGATTTTGATTTATTGTAATGCCAGTGATGCACATTGAATTGTAATTAAAAAATTGATACGAGGATACTTTTGATTGTTGTTATCAAATTGGAGAGGTAATCGTTATAATCCTTATGACGGTTGCTATGGAGTATTGAAAATCTTCTCCTTATTTTTTATTTTTCACCGCCGGGGGTTGACGATTGCGAATTCATTTTGTTATTACCCTTGGAGTGTTCTCTTCAGGGCTTACCTGACGTATATTGCTCCGACCCGCGCTTCCAGACATTCAAGCCGGTTTTTCATTCAACCCTTGATGAAAAGGGTTTCACGAGATTTCCGCCCTGGTGAGATTGGATTTAATTTCACCCTTTTTCACCGATGCGATCGTGACGTCGACCGGCAAGTTTAAAGGCCTTGGGGAGCTTCACAACTACATTATCACCTTTTAAGTGGATTACACCACGACCCTAAGAGAGTTATGAACCTAGGCCTGTAATTAATAGCTTACATGAAGACAGTTATTTATTAATGTTTATCTGCTGCTGTAAGCGAATCAATTGATTTATTTTCTCGTGGACAAATTACTCTGCCCTTACAACCCCTGGAAAGGGATAGGGGCTAGGAATATTATTTATACTACCGTATTAGCACACTGATGAAAATGTGTATTAATGAAACAAAGTGAGCTTTTAAAAAAACAACTTTTTTAATATACTCACATCTGCTGAAATCTAAACTTTTTTTAAACCTGAAAAATAGTAATAATATCTAAAGATAAAAATTTCTTTTTAGTAGGCCTTATTTTGAAGTTTTTTGCCTTTTATATAAAAATCGTGATTGTACTACAAGAGCGTATTACATTTTGGGCAAAATGATGAAAAGTGTCAAAGATTTTATCTCATCCTTCAAAGTTTAAGATTTAAGACGTCTGTATAATGGGAATCTTTCTGAAAAATATGCACAAGACTTATTAAATCGGGTAAATATAACTCATGAGTAAATTTTTCAGTAGGTTTTCCTAGAATAATTGATACTGAACACCAAAACTAATGTTACAGATAATCTGCTGAGTCTGATGTCACTGTAAACTCATCAAATTTTAATAAAAACCCAGTGTGAAGAGTGACCGTCTAGGTGAAGCTACACACGTTTTGTGAAACTAAGCCTAAATATATTTGGCACGTGTCCTAACGTTCTTGCCAATAGAGTCAAGAAGGCAAGAAAAAATATATTTTCCATGAACTTTTATAACAAAAAAAATTTTGTGCTTGATTAGCCGGTGGCAATTTTTTGTTTGTTCAATTTGGATTTTATCCAATGTTTATAGAAACACTGTTTTTGTAGAAACAATGTTTATATAACTGAAAAGAATGCAGGCCAAAAAAATTTGTCCATTTTTTAGTAATAACAACTTAAATTTTCTTTATTTATTTTGTCAACTTATGCCCAACAACACGAAAAAGTATTCTTTTTTTCACAGTTTCAAACTTTTTTGGTAATCCGTTGTCTCTATTCAAACTTTTCTCTAGGGGAAACATACAGCATGTGAAATTCAAAACACAATTCCACTCACCTGACTTATCTAGTGGCAGATGAAGTGGTAATTATCGCTGAATTAAGTCATTGGCGTTGACGTTGGTTCAAAACAGTTTCTGCAAAATTCACTCGGCATCCGGCGAGGACTCATACAATACGGCAATCAAATTAGGCCAGAACTGGTCACGGCAATAACAGTCGTACGCGGTTAGGGTTATTAATCGATCGCAAATCGGAATCCCTCGATTATTACTTCTAAAACTGCCTTGTATCCGCTCTGCCAATTAAGCCGCTGGATGATTAAATCTTGATAACAACGTTATTGAATTGATAATTTGGTTTAAAAATATATCACTTTTACGATGGATCTTAAAAACGAAATGTTTTGTTCTTAGTTTAAGCTTTAAATTTTTCATTAACCTTTCGAAGTGAAAACCGTTCTTAAATGTATATTTATAAATTATTACTATTGAATATTTATTTATAAAGATAAATTTTCTATAGTGTAAACTCCATATGTCAGAAAGGCCGGATGCAAAGGGTTGAATCAGGGTCCTTAGTTTTATACATTTATGAGTTTCTTGGCAGCTGGACCCTTCTTTGTGTTTCCTTAGGTCCTTGGTCAATCTAGGCCGTGGTCCGTTTTTTTTCCAGTTTTATTCCGAAAGCGCCGTTTTTTTTAAGAAACGATAAGTGACTGATGGAGAAAATCGATTAAAAATTAGTACTATTTTATCAAGCGAGAAATTTACTAATATTCATTTTTTGCAATACCAATCATATTAACTGAGT